ACACACACACACACACACACACACACACACACGCATGCACGCACTCACACACACTACATATAAATAAGCATTGTAAGCTTTCACTGGTATGCTAGGTGCTTATAGTTTGCATACAATATTTCTTGTCTTCTTTTACTTTCTTTTTCTTTGTTTTCATATTGTCTCATGCAATCCAAGATGAATTTGAATTTTCTATGCCTCCAAAGATGACTTGGATTTCTTATCATCCTACCTCCATCTTCTGAGTGCCAGGATTACAGGTATTGGATAGCAGACGTAGCTATGTAGTGCTGTGACTAAAGCCCAGGGCTTCATGCAAGATAGACAAACTTTGTGTTACCAGCCCAAGACCAGAATATCTCAGTGTATCCTCATGATTTGCTGACGTAAGTATATGTGCAGTATCGTTTTTGTAAAAATAAAAGAGCTAAGCCCGAGTTTAAACTATGTTTCCAAATATATTCCTGGGTCATAAATCAATCTAGTGATATCTTTCGGGTCAGATTGTGATACCAGCCAGTAGTGGGTTCTTTTTCTGAAATAATTAAAGAATTAAAAGAAAGTAAAATGACTCAGCACAAAGTGAAAGTTTATTGGCAAGAATTACAGAGAGAAATGCTCCCCAGAGCTGCAAAGACTACTGACTCTAATGGGGTTTGGGTTTTAATAGGGGCTTACGGTATCCCACCTAAAAACACTCCTCTTTTCTTTATTGGTCTAAAGGTTTCTAAGTGCCCTTATATAGCAGGTTTGAGACTTTGTCTCTGTAATGTTGGTTCACTGGGGTAGGTGACGGTACCTACCCCAAATTCCTTTACTCTTTGAGCTTTAGCAGATTCATAAAGACCAGCCACATATGAAGAGAAATGGCCAATGTTTGTGGGAAATTGAGGCACTGATGAGTACAAAAAGCCACAAAGAAATGGAAACATCCTGTTTATTGTTGGGGGAAAAGACATATAATTAAATCTGAGATTATTTTGATCCCCTTATTTAATTTTAATGACCCAAATCCTCAATTGAATGTTAGACCAAATAGTTTGGACTACTGACACAAATGAGGCTTCATAACTAGATAGGGAGAAATCATTTATTTATTCATTTCTTTGAAAAATATTTGTTGTGTTTTGAACCAGAGCAAATACTGAAGATAGGTCAACAAAAGCAGAATTATTATAATTTACATTTCACTGGAGAAGACAATAGAGAATAAATGAAGATATTAAATACGGAACGTGGTAAGTAGTGTGGAAGGAACATTCCTCCTAGGTCAGAATGGCTATTGTAATGACAAATTCTCTCACAGAACACCCTTGAAAGTTCTCTGGGATCCCTGAGCCACAGGGTCCTAATGTCAACCTGACAAAACCCAACACCATGCATTCCATTTGGGTTTATGTAAAAAGTTTATAAAGTCTGAAAGTTACTTACAAAGGCATATGCACCCATGGGCTCTTACTCTACGTCTTGGCTAAGTTTTTGAGATCCATGCTGCTAGCACTGCTCTCCACCAAGATGGCAACTTTCTACTGCTTCCTGGCTTCCTCAACACTTCCTAAATTCCTCAGCATCTGTGCTTAGACCAACCCCCTCTTCATGCAATAGAAGCTGACAGATTGAATGGAAGGGGTGACTGTCTTCCCCTGTGCCTATGGAGTCTCTTAGGGTTCAGTTCTAATTCTCTCAAGAACATGTCTACCCAACACCTATATTTAATACAGTAAGAAACTACATTGGTCTAGGGATATGACAAAAGTAGGTTTTTCTCTAAGATTTATGCCCTCTCCAGCCATGTATATTTGGCTATATTTACAGTACCACACATGAGTTTATTC